CCCGGGCCCCCCCCCCCCCCCCCCCCCCGCACGGGACCGCTTCTCACCAGTGGAGCAGAGCAGCTTTATTTTATACTCAAAATACTCGGTACAAACAAGTGGGCGAGACGAAGGCTGGTGTAAATGCGCCCAACGCGGGACACACACACACACACACACACACGACACACAGCACCGGGCAGAGCGCAGGGAACCGGGCAGACACCCACTGCCCAAGGGGACAGGGAGAGAACGCGGGATGGGGTGGGAACGTGGTCCTGCCGCCCCTGTCTGGGGTGCTCTGTAAAGAAAGGCCCAAGATTTCTCCCGCGTGGAGAGCGGCAGGCACATGGGATCACCATCTTGGCCGGACGGGTCCCGTTTTGCAGGAGGATGACATGGGGGCACTCCTCTTCCCCACCTGGGCAGCCCAGCTGCTGGGACAGGGCCAGGCGCGAGGCTCCAAGCATCGGCCGAGACGGGGTTTCAGCCGCCATCCCATTTGCACAGCCAGCTCTGCAGGGGCAGAGGGCAAAGGTGTCCCCGCACGACGCCTGGGAACCAGCTCTCCTGCTGGGAACCAGCTCTCCTGCTCGCACCCCAGGAGCGTGCGAGGGAACGGGGATGGTGCTGAACAGCACCCTGCTAACCTGTGGGAGGGAGCAACTTTCACAGCTGGTGTTGCTCTGTACCCCAACGCCTAGAGACCTCCCAGCAGCCAGGACAAATGACTTCAAGAAATAGCCTTGGCCCACATTTAGCTCAGTACATGGCATCAGCAGCCTGGGAACAGAAACAGCCAGAAACGTAACACACCAGATGTGGAAAGAACAGGGCAGACAGCTGGCTGCCTGGCAGACGCTGCCGCGCTCTCTCCCCGTGCCGTGCAGGGGGTGGCTCGGGACAGCAAACTAACCAATTTGTTGCCACCATCAGCTGTGGCGGCCAAACACTAAGAACAAAACAGATTTGGTCTTAAATTTTAACACAAAGGAATAACGAAAGCATTTCTCCGAAACCTAGGGCTCGCAGCCCCAACATGAACCAAGAGCAACCAAACGGACAGAAGTTTCAGCAGTCCTTCCCCCCCCGTTATAGAACCAACTTCTGATCTTGCTCTTAACTCAAGCTGATTTCCCCCCCCGACTTCTGATCTTGCTCTTAACTCAAGCTGAAAACCAAAGTAGTTCCACCCTCAGCACCACAGCATTGTCACAAGTAAGCACTCAATGCTGTCAAGCTGCCTGTTAAGGTTAAGGAGGGTTGTGACAAAGTGAACCACATCCCATGCTGATTTATTTAGAAATCTCATTATTTAGCAGAGGAGCAGGGAGCTCCCGGAGAACAAGGGGCAGGGCTACAACAAAGCCCGAGCGGTCACTGCCTCGCAGGCATCAGGAAGAGCTCTCGGATCCAGCTGTACCGTCCTGCCACGTTAGGACCAGAATGGCTTTCTCCCTTATCAAGCAGCAAGCAGAGAGCCAAGCAGAGGTGTGTCTCCCCGCTGGCCTGCGGCAGGGTCCCCTGGGGGCACAGAGGCTCTCTGCAGCTCTGGCAGAGGCTACAGACATTCGAGGCTCCCCAGGATTGTTTGTGATGGCTCTAAAGGCTGCTACAAGAAACAGCCGTTCCTCACCCTGCCAGCAGATGCATTAGGCACGAAGCAGCGTGGGGACAGGAGGTTTCTCTAGCACATTAAGGCACTTCAGCATCAATCCACTTCCTCTGCAGTCTGAATCATACCCACACTCAGAGTGCGTTTTCGGGGGGGATAAAAGGCTTAAGGCTTCTGGGGTAACGGTGCCCAGGGGGAGCTTTTTCAGAGTCGTCTTTTAGTGTTGCTTTATTCCCCAACTCCTGTTGGCTACTGAAAGACTCCGGCTGCGTTTACCTGAGGAAAGCAGGTCCTGCTCCACGAATGGCTACACAAGCATCGAAGCCAGAACTGTGCACACAGCATCCGAGGAGCCTGTAGCACCTTGATGTAATCAGCAGTGGGATAACTGGCACACCTGCTTGCCTGTGAAGTCCACAGATATCCCCTGAACACTCTGATAATCCTCTGGTCTTATTAGTCACACAGGATCTGCTCAGAGAATTTATCAGAAAGACCAGGGCATACATTTCCTTTTAGCGATGATTTTAACCATCACATTTGCACGTTCAGCATTTGACATGCCTGGAAGGCAATTCAGAATTCATCTCCCAGCAGAGACTACACCAGCTCCAGCAAACACAACATAAACGCATTCCACGAGATCAAAGCTACTGCAAAGCCCGACACCGAAGCCCTGAACGATTCCAGTTAGCCAGTCAGCAGCTAAACACTTCTGGCAACAAACCCCCTGATTTCTCACGGATTGGATAAGTCACCCATCTTGTACCCGAGCGAAGGGATGGTAAAGTGCTGAATAGGTTTTGGGTTGTAGGAGCTCTAGACTCCTGAGGGTTTCAAGTCTTCATTTCCTGCCTTACTTTGGGGAGTGTTCTTTACTGGGTGATGCAGTTGTCTCCCATGTCCTGAGCATATCTGTCAGATATTGCCGTCCTTAAGTCCTCCACCTCTTTGTGAAGCTGTTTTACCTCCACCAGTTTCTTTGCAAGGCCATCAGGGCTCAGCAAGTCGTCCTTCTCCTTAGCAGAGTACTGCACAGCTGTGGAGTCAGAGAAGGGAGTTACCTCACATGCAATTCTGACCAAGGATCACACACATTTGCAAGTGAGCCAGAAAAACCAACGCACACTTGCAAAAGAGGTACTACTTAACATTCAGTTATTACAGCACACACCCTTAGAGCTAGCTAACCACAGAAAGAAGGTTCAGAATCCCAGGAAGATAAGAACCTTCCATGCTATATTACATGCGAGTTCTTTAATTCTGCCACAGCACAGGAACTGAAGGGTTTGCTCTGCCACCACTCCGCGTACTTACAGTGAATGCCTAGGAGCAGAGAGAGGTTGGGATCCTTGCCCTGAGCCCTCTGAGTGACAATGCTGTAGACAGACTGCAAATCCCGCAGACAACTGGCCAGCTCGCCGTGCAACTCCTGGGCGAGGCGGGCTGTCTCGGCAGGCAGCGGCTGGGTCGTTAGCTCTGCCTGCCGGAGTCGTTCCTGAAGGGTCAGGTTCTTCTCAATGAGATCCTGGTTCTGGACTGAAAGCTGAACAAACGGACACAGCGGGTTAGTGGTCACTTGGTACAGAACTCACACACTTAGAGCAGCTTAACACAACCGCTCGACGATGATGGGAGCACCGAGGGCAGGAGGAGCTGGTTTACATCAAGCCCTCCAGACTCTCGCCAGATGAGCGTCAGTCCTACAGGGTGCGAGCATTCGGCTTTCCTGGCTCAGACGAGCAGTGCCCCATGACACTGCGCTGTCCCTGCCGAGGCACGACACAACAAGCTTCCAGGAGGTTGTGCAGCAGCCGCTCACCCCCAGCACTGGCCATCCCTTCCCTCAAGGGCTGCCATTGTGCTTGGCTTCCTTTAGGCTTCAGAGTGGGGCTCAGCCCTGCCCTTCAGCCAGGGCTGAAGTCGAGTTTGGACTCCTGCTTGCCACCTTGCTGCCCCCAGCTGGCAAGCTCAGCGTCCTCCACCACAAGCCGCAGCCCCAGCTGAAGTTCCCGAGGCAGAAACTTGCCTTTCTCCTGCTTTTGAACAGAGAAGAGCTCCTTTCAGGGCACTGACAGGGCAACTGACTGGCAGGAAGCGGGAGAGGTTGTGCTGCTGACTGCAAATTAAGGGCCTTGCTAAAAGACAATCCATTGTTCATTCAACTGCTATGCTCGGGCACTCTAAACGCTCCCGCTCTGACCTCTTTCACAGCGGTCCGGAGCTGCTGCAGCGCATTTTCTCTTCTCATTGCCTCCTCTTTCAGAGCTTGGCTTGTCCCCTCTTCCTGGGCCACCTGTTCTTCCAGATTCTGGAACAGACCATGGGAAAGTAGTAAGTCTAACTCACTTCATAGCAGATTCTCAAGTTCTAGGTCCCTCCGCAGTCACCTCTCACCTTTACTTGCAAGGACAACTGCTCCATCTTCTTCTGCTGTTTGTCCACAATCTGGAATCAAAAGCAGAGGCATCAGAACTGTCCTGGTTTCGGCAGGGATAGAGTTAATTTCCTTTCTAGTAGCTGGTACAGTGTTTTGGATTTAGGATGAGAACAAAGTTGATAACGCACCGATGTTTTAGTTGTT